TGTGAGACCCACGTCGGTTCGAGAGGAGAATAAATTCCTTATAAGGGTGTAGAAACCCGTGTTTTAAAACTGCGAGACTGACAGCGAAACCTAACGGGCCAAAGTAGACAATATCTGCTAGCGTTGGACTTAGATTGTTACAAATGGTATTAGAGCCGGACACCAGGCAGTGTGTCAGCTAGGACATTAGGGTGGATTGTAAGATCCCACGTTGGTTGGAGAAGAGAACGAATTTCTTATTAGAGCCAGATACCAGGCAGTGTGCCTACTAGCACTGCGAGTCTCGGAAGAGTGAGATTGTGATACCATGCACGTGAAATTTTTTGTTTAATTTTAGTGTCTAAAAAAAGAGGCTAAACTAATAGAAATACGTCTCAACTTTGCACCGAGTCTAAAAAATACTCTAAAACTTTCAAAATATTCAATAATACAGTTCACCTTAAAAAAAAATTGAAAAAATAATCATAAACTTAAATATATATATATATATATATATATATATATATAATAATTTAAAATACCTCGTTAGTTTTGGATGAAAATTATTAATATTTTGTTTAAAAAATATCTTTTAACGAGTGGGTTTCTTTAAATTTAAAACTGTTACAAAAATATTCGGAGTTGATAACGCAACCTTAATCCTCATCTAAACTAGGTTTTGTTGAAGAAAGAACCATGGAATCAAAGTAATTAACAACTCCTTATACAAAATGCAGTTAGGATCAAAGATTTAGGAGCAAGATTTGGAAATCTTGTTCTAAAGTGAGTCACTTCACAATCAAACTTGATCAAGACTGAAGCAAGATTTGGAAATCTTGTTCTAAATTGAGTCACTCCACAATCAAACTATCAAGACTAGAAGTTGACTGGAAGCAAGATTTGGAAATTTTGTTCTAAATTGAGTCACTTCACAATCAGTTCTCACTTCACAATCAAACTTGATCAAGACATGGAGCAAGATTTGGAAATCTTGTTCTAAATTGAGTCACTTCACCATCAGTTCTCACTTCACAATCAAACTTGATCAAGACATGGAGCAAGATTTGGAAATCTTGTTCTAAATTGAGTCACTTCACAATCAGTTCTCACTTCACAATCAAACTTGATCAAGACATGATTGAATGTGATTGAATGAGTCGGATGCAATTCTACCAGAAGAATGGCTTGAAACATAGAAATAGAAAAATTGATACTCGGATCTCTAATGAAAACGTCTCAATTTGAAATCTGAATTACATTCATCATTTTTTTTAATCTAGCATGTTGGTCCCTTTGCCTGCTTAGGTTTGAACCGTGTTGGTTGACATTTTTTTAATCTTCCTGGCATGTTAGTCCATTTAGAACACCGTAATTCTTATCGGGAGTTTTCAAAAATTTCATTAGTACTTTTAAACATTTTTGAAGAACTTCAAAAATACCTTCAAACTTATTTAAAAAGTTAAAAAAAAAAAAAAAAAAAACTCTTACCATTAGTGTATGGACGAAACCGTTAATATCACGTGTAACATCCATTATTTTCTCTCCCTAAATTAGTGGCGTTACAATTGACTGTAATGTACCTAATTTTCTTAACCTAACCAGTGATGTCACCCTATGCATATTTTAATTACATACTGTTGGATTAGTAATGCAATCACACACAATACATGATTGAGACCTATCTTTTAAAACCGTGACATGACCTTAGACCCTTTCCAGGCATGGTTAGATGCATGATACTTCTCTACAAACAGCCTACGTACGCACACATGGACCCACCAGGTAGACTTGTACGTACCCCATGGGCCTGACTTGGTCTGACATAACGCATTACACGTCACCAGACGTCTTAGAACAGAAAAGACCCGCATGATATCATGGCGAACATAAATATCAAGCGTATGCATCCGTACTAGCATAACATAACAGGGAAGTATCCTGATACACATGACATACGTACCTGCACGAGGTCCCATGATTTCATTGATAACATAATATGTATTCACATAATCCATCACACAACTTTACATGATAAAACGTAATATTTCATAGATGACGTTTCATTTTATTCATAATATAAACTAATGGATATTAGATGCATACATGACATATGGTCACGACAATACAAAAAAAACATATAAACATCACCTAATTAATATGGTATATGCAGGAGCCACAGGACATGCACCATCATAAATCAATCAGCACACTCCAACATCAAGTCTCTCTGTCTCTTTTTATGAGATTGGAATAAACCTTTTGAACTGAGACATGTTTTTAGACACAATCTAATGAGTTGTAAAATTTTTTTAACTCAAACAATTCTTATTAAATAACGACCCCAAATAATTTAATCATAAAATTTTTGGGTTTGAGTTTGTTCGATTTGTTTGAATTATTTATTAATTTTTTTATAAAAATAAAATATTAATACGTAAAACATCTCAACAACTTAATTTTTTAATTATAAATATTTTATTTATTTAAACCCAACATAAATAAGTTTATAAATTGGATTTTTGGGTTATCAATTTTTTTAAACTCAAATAAATAAATTAAAATATATAATTGAAATTTAGAAAAGGTTAAAAAAAACAAAACAAAACTTGAGTAAGTATATATTCAACCCGACAACTCGGATCAACCTAACCCAAACGGTATTGTTTAAATTTTTTTTTTATCAATATTTAAAATTATATATATATAAATAATTTTAAAATACATTTAAGATATTTTGATCGATATTTTAAAATTATATATATATAATTTTAAAACATATTCTAAATTCAGAGGTATTTATTATTGCAACATTATTATATCACAATTTATATATATTTTTATTTTTTTTAATAGTTTAGGACTCTCTCGAATTAAGATCACGTCTAAATAAGCATATTTCAATTAATATATATATATATATATATATATATATATATATATATATATTTTGTTATATACAATATCTATAAACTAATCATTTTTATTGTTTATTTAATTTCATGATCTATCATTGTATTTTTGTTACTTTAACAAATTGTTAAGGAATGTCGGTATTTAGTTGTCTTTAATTTTATGACAATATTGAACTAGGTTAATATGTTATCATTAATTTTATGATAATATTGAACTAGGTTAATATGTTACCATTTTTTTTTGTCAATAATTATAGATTGGGTTGTGTTTGTTAGTGAACAGTATAATTATAAATTGTGGATAAATAAAACTTAAAATTTTTTTGGATTAGGTTGCGAAAAGTTTTGGGTTGGATTGGGTTGTTGAAGAATTTTGTGTGGGATAAAAAAAATCACCGGGACCACTTACACGGGAGATTCAGTTTGTAAAATAAAATAAAAATGAATAAAAGAAATGGGAAAACCCTAATCTTTTCAACTCTACTTGTTATACTTCCTCGCGACGGCTGCTCCTCCATTTCATCAGCTCATTGTCGCCGTCGCCTCAATCCCGTAAACTGCTGCCGCCGTCGCCGTCGTCGTCTTTCTTCCGTTAGTTTCGCTTCATCTTCCCTCCTGGTCATTTTGTACCGAATACTCCCTTGTTGTTAGTGGTATTCTCCCAATCTCGATCTCTATCTTTCTTCTAACTTGAAAACACAAATTAGAACTTGTGTGATGAAAAGATGCTTTATTATTTATTTTGTTTGCTGTCTGTACCTTCGTTGGATTCAATTGCACCTGTGTTTTTTTTAATTTATACTACTGAAGTTCTACGTAATTGAAGTGTTTACATTTTTGGCAATCGAATGGATACTGAGAATTAGCATACATTTTTTTTGTAATCCTTTATCTCATACAGGATGGTTTAATATTCGAATACTTATATGAGCCAATGCCTAAAAAACTCGAACACAAGCGATTAATCGGGTTTACTCCTCTAGTAATCTGTTTTAGTGGATAAAATTATTTGGTAATTTTGCTTCAATTTGTTTTTATACTACATCATATTCTTAAATTCATAATATTTGGTTTGACAAGGCCTACATGTTTGCTAATCTTGAATAAAGGTGGAACTGGAAAAGTTGGAAGGAATAAGATGGGGGTTTTCTTTTTTGCACTCTAATGGATTTCTACTTACCATAAATGAAATTCCTTGTTCTGATGGTTAGAAGACATGAAAAGAAAATAACTATTCTAAAATTATATCTTGTACTTGTAAATCATAAAAACTATTTTCCCTCAACCAACATCAGCTCTCTTGCAGACCTGAAAATCGAGAGAAAACAGATTAGTTTTAGGTAATAATGAATTTGGCCATGAATGATTTCAAATCCGTTCTGATTTGAAATACGGTTCCAAAAAGAGGGTTTGACTATTGTCATTTCTGGATGCATCTGAGCTATCTAATGTCTTATTGATGTAGTTTGTTTGTAAGCCTTTTATTTGGTTCAGTCTGATGCTGGAACTGTAGAAAATATATGATTGTAAAGATGCATTGTGTCCATGATTGGGAGTCTCATTTTTCTCTTTCTTGGGAGTATCAATCTCAATCTGAGGGAACTATGCTTATTAGGATAGGGGCGATCAGATTTTGAACCTGTAGGCAACCATTTTGCTGTGGCCATAGTGAATAAATTTTCCTCAATTTGGCTTGAATCTTGGTAAATTGAAATTCTGAAGATAAGAAATTGGCATGTTATAAACCCAAAATGGTTGAAACTCAAGAAAACCAAACCGACAGATGAGTGTAGTTTGAAAATTGGGTTTGCTCAATCCATCTTCATTGGTATGGTTGTCCATTTTTATTAATAAATGATATTGTTTTAGTCATTGGTTCAGCCAAAAGAATCTGCGATACAGAACTAATTTATACCTTTGGCCTTATGAATTGTTGCCATTTTTAAATGTTTAAAGAACAATTATCATTTATATCTGTTGCTACCAATTAGATCAAAACTATTACCCATTGCCATTACTTTGAAAGCTATGTTAGGAATATTGATAATTACTAAAGAAAATCTGTCTCTCTGGGTATTTGTGACTAAGCTTTTTGTATTTATTTGTTAGGATTTATTTTGCTTGATTGGAGGCTATTTCAATTTGTTGCCTTGTTTTGTGGGCTCCTATTTGTATGCCCTTACCAACAGTAATGAGTCACATTTATCATCACTTATCAAAGGGCCACTATGAAGGAATAAAGAACAAGGTCAACTCAATTTATTTAAATAACTCTTAGTATCTCAATAAATTTATAGTGGAATCTATAGTATGATCTTTCATGTACATTCAAAATATACATTCTAGAGTTCTAAACTCCATGGCCTCATAACCCCTTAGCTTTGTTATGTCCTCATCACTAGATGTGGAAGCTTAGGTACCACCTAAAAAAGAAGAGCAACATGGAGGAGCATAAAAGTGTACTCAATAAGTAGCTCACTCACTTGTAGGCTTATAACTAGATACCAATCTCACTCATAATCACTATATCGTGTGTCTTAACTTATATGTCTCTCAATAGTAATAGCCTAGATTCTCAATCATAGGTTATCCATCATAAGAATATTATGAATAAGACTCATTCAACTCCCTTGAGCTAATGCAATGCTAAAAGTCTTATGTTTGAGATTACTTAGCTCATTTGAGTTCACAATAGGGTTTTCACTCCTTGATACCATCTCATCTATCTCCTTTGAGTCTGTCTTAAAGATTGAGTTCATAGTACGCAGATCCTCCGAGCTTACCTCAATCATCTATATCAAATGGTCTAGTCTAATGGTTGCATTTACATTTTTAGCTCATCTGAGCTTATCTTAATCATTAAAGTCATATAACCCATCCCAGAGATTGGTATCATATAGTTTAGCTCCTCTGAGCTCATATTTCAACCATTGATGTTTCATCACATATTCGATTATTTGTTTTTCATAAACCAGCTCCTATGAGCTTATATAAATCATTGTGTCACAGGTCCTACTCAATGGTTGGCTTATGCTATCTAACTCCTTTGAGTTTATCCTTAACCACTAGTGTCAGATAACCTTGCTCCTTTGAGCTTGTCCTAATGTTTCTTGGGTATTTTAGGGTTTAGGTAATCTAGTTATGCCTTTTACTATTTCTCTGTTTTCAATTGACATCATAGAATGGTGAGGTGCGTGTTCTCTGTTAACAATACCTTCCAACTATATGACCTATATGACTCATGTTTTCTGGGCAGCTTAGTACTAGAAATTAGTTGGCTACTCCCTAGTCCCCACATAGTCACTATGAATTGGAGAGTGATCCCTATGCCCCTACCTATCCCGATATTGTGCAAGAGGATAGTCGAAGATTCCTCTAAACAATACCACATAATAACCTAATGGCACAACATATGATATGCACCTAATAACCTAATGGAAATTAAGCTTGTAAAGCATGTTAATTGGTTGTTAGCATGAGGTCGCCTGGATTTTGGTAACTTCTGATTGTTAATGCAATTATGCCTGATATATAGTTTGATTGATTGTATTAAAGCATGTTGTTGATTGAAAGTGTGAAAGATGATTGAAGATTCTGAGATTCATACATGTTTCTCTTGTTTAGAGCATTATTGAATTGGACTAGTGAAGGGAGATGGTGATTCCTCCTCCAGTTAGGCCACCAAGATTAACCCAGTACCTAAAGCCATATGTCTTGAAAATGCACTTCACAAACAAGTATGTTAGTGCCCAAGTGATCCACTCCGAAACAGCCACGGTTGCTTCAGCTGCAAGCTCCCAGGAGAAGGCGCTGCGGTCGAGCATGGAGTCGACAAGGGATGTGGCTGCTGCTGCAAAGATTGGGAAATTGTTGGGCGAGAGGCTTGTGCTCAAGGGAATCCCAGCTGTTTGTGTACACTTGAAAAGAGAACAGAAATATCATGGTAAGGTCAAAGCTGTCGTTGATTCTGTGAGGGAAGCAGGCATTAAGCTGCTTTAATTTTAGTTTTTTTGGTTCAATTTACTTCATTTTGGGGTCATCCTTTGCCTGATTTGTTGTTGGGTTTCATCGATCACTGCCCAATTTGCTTCATTTTAGGTGAAATGTTTTTTTTCCTGCCAGCTTTTTTGTCAAATAAATAATAACTAAGAGACTATATATGTATGAAGGTTTTTTTTTTTTTTTTAAATTATTTCAGTTTAGTCCTTGTTGTTATTTTCAATTTTATTCTTTTTGAAGGTAAATATTAGAAGTGGTTGATAATACTCTGACACTATTTAGTGGGTTTATGAAAAAAATTAGATAAAGAATTAAGCTTTTCAAGAGAGAAGGTTGAAACTTGACTCGTTCCTTTCTCCAATCGATGTCGTTGGACTTGGACTATTACCCACCTGAGTTCAAGATGAAGCTTGAAGGTTACTACGTGACATTCTACAATCCGACATTGGTTGGGGAGGAGAATGAAACACTCTTTATAACGGTGTGGAAATTGTTCCCTAACAAACGCGTTTTAAAGTTTTGAGGGAAAATCCAAAAGAGAAAGTCCAAAGAAGATAATATATGAGCTCCCCAAAGAGAATAATATCTACTAACGATGGACTTGAGCCGTTACAAATGGCCAGACATCGGACTATGTGCTAGCGAGGAGGCTGTTCCCCTAAAAGGGGTAGACACTGGACTATGTGCCAGCGAGGAGGCTGTTCCCCAAAGGGGAGTAGACACAAGGCGATGTGCCAGTAAGGATGTTGGGGCTCGAAGGGAGTTGGATTTGGCGGGGGTCCCACATCGATTGAAGATGCTATTCCCCGAATGGGGGTAGACACGAGACGATGTGCTAGTATGGACGCTAGGCCCCGAAGGGGATGGATTTGGAGGGGTCCCACATCGATTGGAGAGCCTGTTCCCCGAAAGGGGTAGACACGAGGCGATGTGCCAGTAAGGACGTTGGCCCCGAAGGAGGATGGATTTGGCGGGGGTCCCACATCGATTGGAGAAAGGAACGAGTGCCAGCGAGGACGCTGGGCTCTGAAGGGAGGTGGATTGTGACACCCTACAATCCCACATTGGTTGGGGAGGAGGTCGAAACACCCTCTGTAACGGTGTAGAAACTTTTTCCTAGCAGATGCATTTTAAAGCCTTGAGGGAAAGTCCAAAAGGGAAAGCCCAAAGAAAACAATATCTACTGGCGGTGTACTTGGACCGTTACAACTACCTACCATCTTTAGCACCTCTATAGATAGTGACTAACAATGTGGCCTTGTTCCCCACATCGAAAGCGACACCCCAGAGGTTGTCAAACAATGTCCCCAAGCGTGGCTCTCTCAAATATTGTGAGATCTTTAACCGATACGAGCTCAAGATCATCTAGTAAGACCTCGAGGCAGATTCTATTGTCGCTAGTGCCTGAAATCTGCTTGATATGCATTGTCAAACAATGTCCCCAAGCGTGACTCTCTCAAATATTGTGAGATCTTTAACTGATACGAGCTCGAGATCATCTAGTAAGACTTCGAGGCAGATTCTATTGTCGCTAGTGCTTGAAATCTGCTTGATATGCATTTCCAATCATCATAGCTGGTCTACAACTGCCAGATACCCTCATGGTCTCTATGTCTACTAGTTTTGAGGCAAACTTCTCGAGTCTTGTAAACTCCTCATAAGCCTTCATTGATCGTTTGTTTTGTTGTAGGTTTATGAATTTCATTAAATTGTAGCAATATTATTGGGTCTCCCTTGGATAGAAATACTACCACCATAGAAATGCATCGCTCTTTGGCATAAATGTCGCATACGACACTTGGATAGTTCATCAGTCGAAATATGGTCTCTAGAGACGATACTCACTATTCTGCTACAGTCGAGTTCTCAGATCACCCTTCGAAGGTACGAATATCGTGTCTTATAAAATTTCTTAAGTACCTTATTTCCGTAAACACCCCTCCCTGCTTTAGTAGGATTCATTCTAAGACCTAGTCAAGATATTTAGGAAATTTCGGAGTGTAGAAAGTACAAAATTGAGGACCCAAACACGGTTAACCACTTGAAATTTCTCAAGCACGACTAAAGCAAGAAACCATTAAGTTGCCCTTTAAGAAAACCTAGTTAAGTCCACACCACGTAAAAAATCAAGATTAACTTACTATACCTAGAGTCGAGCCAAGACTACATCCCTATCGTCCCAATATTCCATGATAATCTATTCCTCACTCGATTAGTGAGTTGCGCTACCTCGATTACCACGACTTTGTCTTGTTGACATGACTTAGATTGTCCTTGGTAGGGTTAGGTATCTCCAAATCATGATTCATGCTACGTATTGAGGTTGAAATGGACATGGGCTCCCTTGAACTTGTGCTCTATAAGCTCAACCGGAATGAGGTATTGAACCATATGGGTACATACATGATTCAGGTCACGTATTGTGTGTGAAAATGAATAAGGATCTTCTATTACGACTAATACTCCGTAAACCCACATTTAGTGGGGTGAGGGGCCACATGGGTACGCACGATCTCGACATAGGTATAGATAACTCAAAATAAACAAACATGATTCTCCAAAAAAATTTCAAGTATTACATGGACGAACCCCAAGGTCACCAAATCTAGAACCAAGAAACCTAGCTAAGACACGAACACGATTCAGAGACTACAAGTAGACTACTTACTGAGTATTTTTTACTCACATTAGTTATTTTTTTCTTTTCAAATAGCAACTTAGAAAATGAGAGTGATCTAGATTTGTACGACAATAGTCTCATTGACTGGCCTCTTCACCCCATTCATCACTCCCATGTCACGACATTGCAACTTTCCTGAAAATTATTTTAAAAATAATATGAGTATTAAAATAATCCGTGGGCTCAAATAGGCAAACCTTTATACGCCGAATCAAATAAAATGATCTTAACGGCTAATTACCAAAACACACGGCTTGTATTCTATCAACTCAAAATCGTTGCTCGTCAAAGTAGCAACCCGATATACAAAACGTGTAACCCTTATCACAAAAGTAATTATCATCAATCACACCTTAAGGTGTATGATATGAACCAAAAGACATCAATCATACAATATACTTCAATGAAGATGTGAAAAAAAGGTTGTCAAAATTATCAAAAGATGTTTCAATTCATGCTACATTGAAGAAGAATGAAGTTTGATTGTTACAAATTTTGGGTGGGTTATAGGTTAGAGTAATTTAGAGTTATTGTATTTTAAGACATTTTATTTACTTTGGTTACATTTACATAATGGCTAATTATGGCCATTAGGTATGAATGTTACAACTTTTGGAATGCCTTAAATAGTTTCATTTTGAGGCTATATAAATCCATGTATGTTGTATTTGTAAGGGAGACTTAGAAAATATAGTAAAAGAAGCATTTGTGCTTTCTTTAGCCAATGGCTAAGTTTATTTGCAACTCTTGTAGTTTAGGTTGCATGTAGAATCATTCAAGCTCGACATGATCAATCTTGCTTGTGGAGTGATTCGAATCTCAGTCAAGTGTTCTTGTCTTGAGATATTTGATCAACAAGAATCATTGAAGCTAGACATGATCGATCTTGCTTGTGGAGTGATTCGAATCTCAAACAATGTTCTTGTCTTGAGATATTCGATCAACAAGGTAATCCGAATCTTATTCTCCTTGTATTGATTCCTTATCTTATCATTTGGTATCATTGAGATTCGAATCACTCCAGAAGCAAGATCGATCATGTCTAGCTTCAATGATTCTTGTTGATCAAATATCTCGAGACAAGAACACTTGATTGAGATTCGAATCACTCCACAAGCAAGATTGATCATGTCGAGCTTGAATGATTCTACATGCAACCTAAACTACAAGAGTTGCAAATAAACTTAGCCATTGGCTAAAGAAAGCACAAATGCTTCTTTTACTATATTTTCCAAGTCTGCCTTACAAATACAACATACATGGCTTTATATAGCCTCAAAATGAAACTACTAAACACATTTGAAGAGTGGTAACATTCATACTTAATGACCATAATTAACCATTATGTAATTGTAACCAAAGTAAATTAAAAATCTTAAAATACAATAATGAAATACAATAACTCTAAATTGTAACCCCATTTCAAGAGTTGTAACATTCATACTTAATGGCCATAATTAACCATTATGTAATTGTAACCTAAAGTAAATTAAAAGTCTTAAAATACAATAATGAAATACAATAACTCTAAATTGTAACCCATCCAAAATTTACAACAATCAAACTTTATTCTTCTTCAATGTAGCATGAATTGAAACATCTTTTGATAATTTTGATAACCTTTTCTTCACATCTTCATTGAAGTATATTGTAAGATTGATGTATTTTGGTTCATATCAGATCATGTCAAGTTTGAATGATTCTACATGCAACCTAAACTACATAGAATTGCAAACAAACTTAGTCATTGACCAAAGGAAGCAAAAATGCTTCTTTTACTATATTTTCCAAGTCTACTTACAAATACAACATACATGACTTTATATAACATCAAAATGAAACTCTTGACACTCTTGACCTTACATGAGACATTTCAAGAGTTTACCATAATTAACTATACTTTGTGACTATAATTAGTCACTGTGTATGCTCCACTATGTAAATGTAACTTTCAAGTAAATAAAAAGTCTTAAAATATATTAATAAAATACAATAAGTCTAAATTATAATCCACCCAAAATTTATAACAATGAAGTTTCGTCATTTTTAATGTGGCGTAAATTGAAATATCTTTTGATAATTTCAACAATATTTTCTTCACATCTTCATTGAAATACATTGTATGATTGATGTCTCTTAGTTCATTTTGTAAGTGATACGACTTCGTTAGTTGACACATTGTACCTTTACTTACGTGTCTTGATTGCTATACCAAAAATAGAGGTGAGCGTGAGAGGTATACCATATTCAAGTGAAAAAAACAGCATAAAAATAATAATCTTGCAAGATTACCATTTTTTTTTCCTTTTCAGATAATAAAACGAATAAATTCATAAAATAGAAGTATTGCTTATAGCTTAATTTCAATATATATATCAAACGGTTGTTAATTAAATAACATAAAGAACATTTT